GGTCTCAGGGTGAATATAGTGGTTTCAGGGTGAGTACTGTGGCCTCAGGGTGAGTATAGTGGTCTCAGGGTGAGTATAGTGGTCTCAGGGTGAGTACTGTGGCCTCAGGGTGAGTACTGTGGCCTCAGGGTGAGTATTGTGGCCTCAGGGTGAGTACTGTGGCCTCAGAGTGAGTACAGTGGCCTCATGGTGAGTACAGTGGCCTCAGGTGAGTATAGTGGCCTCAGGGTGAGTACTGTGGCCTCAGGGTGAGTACTGTGGCCTCAGGGTGAGTATAGTGGCCTCAGGGTGAGTACTGTGGCCTCAGGGTGAGTACAGTGGCCTCATGGTGAGTACAGTGGCCTCAGGGTGAGTATAGTGGCCTCAGGGTGAGTACTGTGGCCTCAGGGTGAGTACTGTGGTCTCAGGGTGAGTATAGTGGCCTCAGGGTGAGTACTGTGGCCTCAGGGTGAGTACTGTGGCCTCAGGGTGAGTATTGTGGCCTCAGGGTGAGTACTGTGGCCTCAGAGTGAGTACAGTGGCCTCATGGTGAGTACTGTGGCCTCAGGGTGAGTATAGTGGTCTCAGGGTGAGTATAGTGGTCTCAGGGTGAGTACTGTGGCCTCAGGGTGAGTACTGTGGCCTCAGGGTGAGTATTGTGGCCTCAGGGTGAGTACTGTGGCCTCAAGAGAGAGTACAGTAGCCTCAGGGTGAGTATTGTGGCCTCAGGGTGAGTACTGTGGCCTCAGAGTGAGTACAGTGGCCTCATGGTGAGTACTGTGGCCTCAGGGTGAGTATAGTGGTCTCAGGGTGAGTATAGTGGTCTCAGGGTGAGTACTGTGGCCTCAGGGTGAGTACTGTGGCCTCAGGGTGAGTATTGTGGCCTCAGGGTGAGTACTGTGGCCTCAGGGTGAGTATAGTGGCCTCAGGGTGGTGTACTGTGGCCTCAGGGTGAGTACAGTGGCCTCATGGTGAGTACAGTGGCCTCAGGGTGAGTATAGTGGCCTCAGGGTGAGTACTGTGGCCTCAGGGTGAGTACTGTGGTCTCAGGGTGAGTATAGTGGCCTCAGGGTGAGTACTGTGGCCTCAGGGTGAGTACTGTGGCCTCAGGGTGAGTATTGTGGCCTCAGGGTGAGTACTGTGGCCTCAGAGTGAGTACAGTGGCCTCATGGTGAGTACTGTGGCCTCAGGGTGAGTATAGTGGTCTCAGGGTGAGTATAGTGGTCTCAGGGTGAGTACTGTGGCCTCAGGGTGAGTACTGTGGTCTCAGGGTGAGTATAGTGGCCTCAGGGTGAGTACTGTGGCCTCAGGGTGAGTACTGTGGCCTCAGGGTGAGTATTGTGGCCTCAGGGTGAGTACTGTGGCCTCATGGTGAGTACTGTGGCCTCATGGTGAGTACTGTGGCCTCATGGTGAGTATAGTGGTCTCAGGGTGAGTATAGTGGTCTCAGGGTGAGTACTGTGGCCTCAAGAGAGAGTACAGTAGCCTCAAGAGAGAGTACAGTAGCCTCAGGGTGAGTACTGTGGCCTCAAGAGAGAGTACAGTAGCCTCAGGGTGAGTACTGTGTAGGAGAACGTGTCAAGGGTAAACTAATCTGTGATGTTAGTTTTACTTTGTTGGGGAGTTTGAGGTGTTGTGCTCCCTTGAGAGCCTTCCCTGGTGATTGTCTAGTCTGTGAGGCTGTTAGTCTTCGTAGCTCAATGGCTAACGAGGCCATTACAGCCTGGCTAGTCTGGTAACTTCGGTAGATACTTGTTCAGTTCTTTCTTGAAAGCTTCCGCTCTTGTTCCTGTATCATTTCTTATACGTCTTGGCAGGAGATTGAAAAGTCACGAACCGCTGTGGTGTCTAAATGCTTATGGCTCTGCGAATTTTTATTGGATATATATCATATATCTCACTCCAGTATGTCGTAATTTTATTGTGTAAGGTTGAAGTCTGGCTTTTTGGTGCGGTATCTTTATGTGTATTATGGGATATCTCGGCTTCGTTCCATGGAACACAGTGTGAAGAGTTCTGGTCCCACAGTAGCTTAAGTACTTCACTGATGTGGTGAAGGCCGTAGATATCTGTACATTTTTGAGCTCTGCAAACTCGCCCGCCTTGAAAGATGTGAGGATCGAATACTATTCCACCCGCGATCACTCCAGGACTGTGAAGAGCATCGTCATGCGTGTGGCGACCATTGTTCTCAAGGTTCCTGGCGGCCGCTATGTTTCCCATATGTTTCTCTGTGAATATTAGAGGTCTTCCAGGCTGTTGGTGGCCGCTCTCTGCCAGGGCGCCCTGTGGGCAGCGTCACTCATCCTGTGAGTGGACACACCGCCATAGTGACAGTATTGGGCAGCGCCACTCATCCTGTGAGTGGACACACCGCTATAGTGACAGTATTGGGCAGCGTCACTCATCCTGTGAGTGGACACACCGCCATAGTGACAGTATTGGGCAGCGTCACTCATCCTGTGAGTGGACACACCGCCATAGTGACAGTATTGGGCAGCGCCACTCATCCTGTGAGTGGACACACCGCCATAGTGACAGTATTGGGCAGCGCCACTCATCCTGTGAGTGGACACACCGCCATAGTGACAGTATTGTGCAGCGTCACTCATCCTGTTAGTGAACACACCGCCATAGGGACAGTAATGGGCAGCGCCACTCATCCTGTTAGTGAACACACCGCCATAGGGACAGTAATGGGCAGCGTCACTCATCCTGTGAGTGAACACACCGCCATAGTGACAGTATTGGGCAGCGTCACTCATCCTGTGAGTGGACACACCGCCATAGTGACAGTATTGGGCAGCGCCACTCATCCTGTGAGTGGACACACCGCCATAGTGACAGTATTGGGCAGCACCAATCATCCTGTGAGTGGACACACCCCCATAGTGACAGTATTGGGCAGCACCACTCATCCTGTGAGTGGACACACCACCATAGTGACAGTATTGGGCAGCGTCACTCATCCTGTGAGTGGACACACCGCCATAGTGACAGTATTGGGCAGCACCACACATCCTGTGAGTGGACACACCCCCATAGTGACAGTATTGGGCAGCACCACTCATCCTGTGAGTTGACACACCACCATAGTGACAGTATTGGGCAGCGCCACTCATCCTGTGAGTGGACACACCGCCATAGTGACAGTATTGGGCAGCGCCACTCATCCTGTGAGTGGACACACCGCCATAGTGACAGTATTGGGCAGCGCCACTCATCCTGTGAGTGGACACACCACCATAGTGACAGTATTGGGCAGCGCCACTCATCCTGTGAGTGGACACACCACCATAGTGACAGTATTGGGCAGCGCCACTCATCCTGTGAGTGGACACACCGCCATAGTATAGTGTACTCATAGTACACCATACTATGTGTACTGTGTAATTTTAACACAGTACTCACCCTACGGTTTCTCATGTAGTGAAGACATTGTAATTTATCGCTATTGAACATCGAATTATTTCCCATTGTTAATAAACTATATTTGATGGCAATATTTTAGATTTTTATAAAATAGTAAATGTTGAGAGACAAAATTTAATTAATAGATTTTATTTACAAATTTTACAGTTATAAATCAGTATCTTCAGTAATTTACATTAATAATAATAATTATATAGTAATTCATGGTTGTCTAAAAATATTTGTGGGACGTTTATTTCTAAAATGGAAGAATATCTTTCTTAAAATACAGTAGTTAAAAATAGACCTCTATGGGATTTATCCTTCTAAGGCACACTACTTATCACAGTGTAGTGGGAGTGTACACAAGTGTACCAGGGTGTACACTAGTGTAGCAGGGTGTACACTAGTGTAGCAGGGTGTACACTAGTGTAACAGGGTGTACACAAGTGTAGCAGGGTGTACACTAGTGTAGCAGGGTGTACACAAGTGTAGCAGGGTGTACACTAATGTAGCAGGGTGTACACAAGTGTAGCAGGGTGTACACTAGTGTACCAGAGTGTACACTAGTGTAACAGGGTGTACACAAGTGTAACAGGGTGTACACTAGTGTAGCAGGGTGTACACTAGTGTAGCAGGGTGTACACTAGTGTAGCAGGGTGTACACTAGTGTAGCAGGGTGTACACTAGTGTAACAGGGTGTACACTAGTGTAACAGGGTGTACACAAGTGTAACAGGGTGTACACTAGTGTACCAGGGTGTACACAAGTAACAGGGTGTACACAAGTGTACCAGGGTGTACACAAGTGTAACAGGGTGTACACAAGTGTAGCAGGGTGTACACTAGTGTACCAGGGTGTACACTAGTGTAACAGGGTGTACACAAGTGTAACAGGGTGTACACAAGTGTAGCAGGGTGTACACTAGTGTAGCAGGGTGTACACTAGTGTACCATGGTGTACACAAGTGTAGCAGGGTGTACACTAGTGTACCAGGGTGTACACTAGTGTACCAGGGTGTACACAAGTGTACCAGGGTGTACACTAGTGTACCAGGGTGTACACTAGTGTAGCAGGGTGTACACTAGTGTACCAGGGTGTACACAAGTGTAGCAGGGTGTACACTAGTGTAGCAGGGTGTACACTAGTGTACCAGGGTGTACACAAGTGTAGCAGGGTGTACACTAGTGTAGCAGGGTGTACACTAGTGTACACACAAGTGTAGGGTGTACACAAGTGTACCAGGGTGTACACAAGTGTAGCAGGGTGTACACTAGTGTACCAGGGTGTACACAAGTGTAGCAGGGTGTACACTAGTGTAGCAGGGTGTACACTAGTGTACCAGGGTGTACACAAGTGTACCAGGGTGTACACTAGTGTACCAGGGTGTACACTAGGGTGTACCAGGGTGTACACAAGTGTACCAGGGTGTACACTAGTGTACCAGGGTGTACACTAGTGTACCAGGGTGTACACTAGTGTACCAGGGTGTACACTAGTGTACCAGGGTGTACACTAGTGTAGCAGGGTGTACACTAGTGTACCAGGGTGTACACTAGTGTACAGGGTGTACACTACTGGGTGTACACTAGTGTACCAGGGTGTACACTACTGTACCAGGGTGTACACTAGTGTAGCAGGGTGTACACAAGTGTACCAGGGTGTACACAAGTGTACCAGGGTGTACACTAGTGTACCAGGGTGTACACTAGTGTACCAGGGTGTACACTAGTGTACCAGGGTGTACACAAGGGCTTACCTGTATACAAATATGCCAAACAAGCAAACAGAGAAATCTGTGGCTCCGAGCACCATATGCACTTAACATGAAAATTATTATATTTCCTGTGATTTTGTTGTGTTGCTCTAATATAAGAATGTAAACAGTGACTATTATTATATTTTTGGTGCATCTGATGAAATGGAAACATATATACATGGAGCGAGGAGCTGTGAGAGGCAGACCTCACAACCACCACCACACATCTCTCTCTTTGACCAGACATAATATAGCTTCAATTTTTTAAATAAAGACATTTACATCTGACTAGCTTAATAGAGATTGTCCATAGTCATTTGGATTAAAATATTGTCTTTTTTAAAATGGAGAATCATTAACAGTGAGTACAAAATCCCCGGCAATGGATGACCTCTCAAACATATTGTACAGAAAACAAAGTATGGGATAATTATCCTAATTTTAACAAAATTTTGTTTTTCACTAAATCCAAACACAATATTTTAGTATCTTTCTTGTTAGAGGAAACCATCCAGGCCGTTGTTGCAGCATTTGACACAACATCTTAACAAGGTATTGAGCGAAGATTAAGGTAAAGCGATAAAACTTCCAGAACGGACGAATGATTTCGATCTCGGGTATTTTCATAGTGTTCAGTACATTCCCTTATATTGGGGGAAATGTTCTTGAGTCAGTTTATCATTAACTTGCCTCCTCTTTCCCTCTCTGTCATCCATCCAATCTGCTATACTCAGTAGAAGCAGTGACCAAGTTGCAGCATCAATCCATTCCCTTGCAAGCATGCATTCAAACACACTTATGTAATTACACACACACGTGTGTGTGTGTGTGAGACATCCCTACTAGGTGAGTACATGAACTTAAGATAATCTCAAGGGTCAGCAAATTCAAGTATTAACCTTTGTAAAAGCCTCAAGTGAGCAGCGTTGCAAGTCTATTGGAAGTGTCTTGCATTTATTTGTATTCTATTCTATTGTGGAAGAATGAATCACTGGTCACACCAATAGGACCATTAATGTTAATATAACTCATAATAGCTTTAAATATTACAACCTTAAGGAGGAAAGACTCGCTCACATTGAGTGTATTCTATACTTTAGTCACAAGATTATCTTGCAGATGACGGGAGATCAGTTTGCAACCTGGAAGAGCCATTTTAGGACTTGACTGTCCAAAGCTGAGGCGTGCACTCCTTCACCTTCCCCTGACTGTCTCCCGGAACTGTGCACATTACACCAGATGAACTGTGACAGTAAACAGTTGGAGACAGTCTAGTGGTCACAGTAAACAGTTGGAGACAGTCTAGTGAAGTGTAGCACAGTCGCTAGCACCTGACCTCAGCTTCTAGGACCTACAATGAACAACCGAATAGCTTGATCACATTAAAAAATATATATATATATATTTATATACAGTATATATAGGCCAACTTGCTAACAATTTCAAGGGCCTCGTTATAATTATCACAGCAATTTTTCTTTTGTTTTACACTAAAGCACAAGTGATGCCTTCAAATGTGCCTTTGTCTTGACCACAGTCAGCCCGACGCTATGTGGCACAGAAGTTGAAGTTCGGGAACAACAGACAATGAACTGAGAGCAATCTGCAATGAATGAAACAAACATAATTAGTTTCTAATTTTGTTAAACTTATTATTCATATTTATAATATAATTTTAGCATCTTTAACTAACAGCTTTAACAACATTAAATTCTGCTTTACATTATAATTATAAACTATTATATATATATATATATATATATATATATATATATATATATATATATATATATATATATATATATATATATATATATATATATAAAAAAATTCCAATAGTTATAATATTTTCTTAAGTTGCTCCATGATAGTTTGGTAATGCGATTTGTCTTAAGTTACTTCATGACTCGTGAGGTTTCCCTCGCGATCACTTGTCCTTGGTTACCTGTCCCATCACTCTGAGGTTACCTGTCCCATCACTCTGAGGTTACCTGTCCCATCACTCTGAGGTTACCTGTCCCATCACTCTGAGGTTACCTGTCCCATCACTCTGAGGTTACCTGTCCCATCACTCTGAGGTTACCTGTCCCATCACTCTGAGGTTACCTGTCCCATCACTCTGAGGTTACCTGTCCCATCACTCTGAGGTTACCTGTCCCATCACTCTGAGGTTACCTGTCCCATCACTCTGAGGTTACCTGTCCCATCACTCTGAGGTTACCTGTCCCATCACTCTGAGGTTACCTGTCCCATCACTCTGAGGTTACCTGTCCCATCACTCTGAGGTTACCTGTCCCATCCCATTAAGTTTTCCATCCTCTCCCTTCATGGAATACTTGTCCCCTCCTACCATGGTTATCCCCCTCTTCCTCCTCCATGGCGTCCCTTCCCACCATGGCGTCTGCCTGGCTGCCACCATGACTGCCACCATGGCTGCCACCATGGCTGCCACCATGACTGCCACCATGGCTGCCACCATGGCTGCCACCATTATAATACCGCCTAAAACTTGCCTTGAATGAATCTTTCCTACCCTTCTCCTTCTACACTCAATACCCCAGCTTAACACGGTCACAGTCCAGTATGACCCCTCACTGGACTGGCACGAATATAAGATGGGTATTAAATGAGGGGGACACCACAAGAATAGGGGTTATTAATTTATAACTTATAATAAAAATCATTAAAACACTGCCACCACCTTCCCGACCAGCCATACCTGAATGTGTCTATCACTGATCCCCCAGGAAGGCCAGGAATCAGTAGTCATGGACTCCCGGGTAATATGAACTTCAGTAATAAATTTTGGGAATTAGTTTGTTTAAATTTACTTTACTTATTTAAATCCAAGGGCAACTTTAATATCTATTAAATGGAGGAGAACATGGGGGTTTCCAAATACCACACATATATGTACCACAATAGAAACTGCAAACTTTAATAACATAAGGGACCAAGATTACATAACAATCAAAACCGATTTAATACTTTATTTAAATTAAATAAATTTAACATATATATTGAAATCAAATGAACATATACCCTACTCTATGACCTAAAGGCGCAAAGTGGATATCTACCGAGGACATGAATACTCAAGTGCACAATACCTTTAAACCGCACTGAGGCCAAGATGTTGATGGCTGCCCTCAGCCCCTTGGATGCGGGCCGAGTCCCTATTCCCAACACACTCCCAGGACACACTACCAAAATTTTGTTTCACCAGCTTACTGGTGGAAAGGATTTGCTCCTCCCACAATCTAATACAGCCCCAGGTCTCCACCCATTAATTGGCTACACCCAACCATTGTAATACTAGGCATGAGGTCTGGCTCTCCAGGGTCAATAAGGACTTGGCACTTATCTACCGCCAATCACCTTCCATGATCTGCCGTGGAAGGATACATGAAATTCTTGAAGGTTGAGTCAGCTCTCCCAGCTATGCCAAGTGGACAAGGTGCCACTGTGGTGGACCACTGGAGCCTGGGGCCCATCAGAGCAATGTTTATGGAAAGTGATAAATTATGTTCAACCCCTTCTCCTCCAAGATAAAGGGTAGGGACATTTGACTCGTCTGGTATGGGGAAGTGACCGGTGAGAGGGGAAGAGAGGGAATTGAGAGGTGGATGGAGAGGGAAATCTGAGTGGGGGAGCCTAGGCACCGAGAGCACCCGCTAGCAAGACCACGCTCAGGTCAGCCTCTGCCACCATGGCTGCCACCATGGCTGCCACCATGGCTGCCACCATGGCTGCCACCATGGCCGCCACCATGGCTGCCATACCCTGCCAACCCCCAAAGGAACACAAAGGGCGGTGCCATACCTGGTGGGGTCGAGGCGGGTGTCGAGGCCGTCGACTGGAAGCACGTTCATCTCGCTGCCGTACTGCGAGTAGCTGAAGCTCACCTGTCGACGGAGAGACAAGAGTGTAAACTGTATACTCTGCTAGAGCGTCATCTTGACCCATTACTCACTCAATATACACCACAACACAGCCCCTGGGAGGGGTACCTATACACACCTGGCGAGGCAGCGAGTCAGTGTTGACGAACCTCATGGGCTCCAGGTGTGAGTGAAACTCCTCCACCACCGTCAGCTTCTTCCTCAACAAGTGTTCTGCAACACACCAGACACACGCCGTCATTATAACTCCCACCCGGAACACTGCTCACGTCTGCTGCCACTACGTCAGTATGTCCAGTGTTTGGTCGTGTTCTTGGCACTGGTGGTTGGTGTGGTGGGTGACACTGGTAGATGGTGTGGTGGGTGACACTGGTAGTTGGTGTGGTGGGTGGTACTGGTGGTTGGTGTGGTGGGTGACACTGGTAGTTGGTGTGGTGGGTGACACTGGTAGTTGGTGTGGTGGGTGACACTGGTAGTTGGTGTGGTGGGTGGCACTGGTAGTTGGTGTGGTGGGTGACACTGGTAGTTGGTGTGGTGGGTGACACTGGTAGTTGGTGTGGTGGGTGACACTGGTAGTTGGTGTGGTGGGTGACACTGGTAGTTGGTGTGGTGGGTGACACTGTGGGTGGTGACACTGGTAGTTGGTGTGGTGGGTGACACTGGTTGTTGGTGTGGTGGGTGACACTGGTAGTTGGTGTGGTGGGTGGCACTGGTAGTTGGTGTGGTGGGTGACACTGGTAGTTGGTGTGGTGGGTGGTACTGGTAGTTGGTGTGGTGGGTGACACTGTACTGGTAGTTGGTGTGGTGGGTGACACTGGTAGTTGGTGTGGTGGGTGACACTGGTAGTTGGTGTGGTGGGTGACACTGGTAGTTGGTGTGGTGGGTGACACTGGTAGTTGGTGTGGTGGGTGGTACTGGTGTGTTGGGTGTGGTGGGTGGTGACACTGGTAGTTGGTGTAGTGGGTGACACTGGTAGTTGGTGTGGTGGGTGACACTGGTAGTTGGTGTGGTGGGTGACACTGGTGGTTGGTGTGGTGGGTGTGACACTGGTAGTTGGTTGGTGTGGTGGGTGTGGTACACTGGTAGTTGGTGTGGTGGGTGACACTGGTAGTTGGTGTGGTGGGTGACACTGGTAGTTGGTGTGGTGGGTGACACTGGTAGTTGGTGTGGTGTGGTGTGGTACACTGGTAGTTGGTGTGGTGGGTGACACTGGTAGTTGGTGTGGTGGGTGACACTGGTAGTTGGTGTGGTGTGGTGGGTGGTGGGTAGACACTGGTAGTTGGTGTGGTGGGTGACACTGGTAGTTGGTGTGGTGGGTGACACTGGTAGTTGGTGTGGTGGGTGACACTGGTGGTTGGTGTGGTGGGTGTCACTGGTAGTTGGTGTGGTGGGTGACACTGGTAGTTGGTGTGGTGGGTGACACTGGTAGATGGTGTGGTGGGTGACACTGGTAGTTGGTGTGGTGGGTGACACTGGTACTGGTGTGGTTGGGTAGTGGTGGGTGGGTGACACTGGTAGTTGGTGTGGTGGGTGACACTGGTAGGGTGTGGTGTGGTGGGTGTGGTGGGTGACACTGGTAGTTGGTGTGGTGGGTGTGTACTGGTAGTTGGTGTGGTGGGTGACACTGGTAGTTGTGTGTGGGTGGGTGACACTGGTAGTGGTGTGTGGGTGGTAGTGGTGTGGTGGGTGACACTGGTGGTTGGTGTGGTGGGTGACACTGGTAGTTGGTGTGGGGTGGGTGGTACTGGTAGTTGGTGTGGTGGGTGGCACTGGTAGTTGGTGTGGTGGGTGACACTGGTAGTTGGTGTGGTGGGTGACACTGGTAGTTGGTGTGGTGGGTGACACTGGTAGTTGGTGTGGTGGGTGACACTGGTGTGGTGTGGTGGGTGTCACTGGTAGTTGGTGTGGTGGGTGACACTGGTAGTTGGTGTGGTGGGTGACACTGGTAGTTGGTGTGGTGGGTGACACTGGTGGTTGGTGTGGTGGGTGGCACTGGTAGTTGGTGTGGTGGGTGACACTGGTAGTTGGTGTGGTGGGTGGGTAGTTGGTGACACTGGTAGTTGGTGTGGTGGGTGACACTGGTAGTTGGTGTGGTGGGTGACACTGGTAGTTGGTGTGGTGGGTGGTGGTGGGTGACACTGGTAGTTGGTGTGGTGGGTGACACTGGTAGGTGGGTGTGGTGGGTGGGTGGGTGACACTGGTAGTTGGTGTGGTGGGTGGTACACTGGTAGTTGGTGTGGTGGGTGGCACTGGTAGTTGGTGTGGTGGGTGGTACTGGTAGTTGGTGTGGTGGGTGACACTGGTAGGGTGTGGTGTGGTGGGTGGTGGGTGACACTGGTAGTTGGTGTGGTGGGTGACACTGGTACACTGGTAGTTGGTGTGGTGGGTGACACTGGTAGTTGGTGTGGTGGGTGACACTGGTAGTTGGTGTGGTGGGTGACACTGGTAGTTGGTGTGGTGGGTGACTGGTAGTTGGTGTGGTGGGTGACACTGGTAGTTGGTGTGGTGGGTGACACTGGTAGTTGGGGTGGTGACACTGGTAGGTTGGTGTGGTGGGTGTGTGGGTGACACTGGTAGTTGGTGGGTGACACTGGTAGGGTGTGGTGGGTGACACTGGTAGTTGGTGTGGTGGGTGACACTGGTAGTTGGTGTGGTGGGTGACACTGGTAGTTGGTGTGGTGGTGACACTGGTAGTTGGTGTGGTGGGTGACACTGGTAGTTGGTGTGGTGGGTGACACTGGTGGTTGTGTGGTGGGTGGTGTGGTGGGTGACTGGTAGTTGGTGTGGTGGGTGACACTGGTAGTTGGTGTGGTGGGTGACACTGGTAGTTGCTGTGGTGGGTGACACTGGTAGTTGGTGTGGTGGGTGACACTGGTAGTTGGTGTGGTGGGTGACACTGGTAGTTGGTGTGGTGGGTGACACTGGTAGTTGGTGTGGTGGGTGACACTGGTAGTTGGTGTGGTGGGTGACACTGGTAGTTGGTGTGGTGGGTGACACTGTGTGGTGGTGTGGTGGGTGACACTGGTAGTTGGTGTGGTGGGTGACAGTGGGAGCCCAGGGTGACAGGGACAGGACACCCAGGGACCCCGGGACACCCAGGGACCCCGGGACACCCAGGACCCCACACCCAGGGACCCCAGGACACCCAGGG